AATACCTGTATGAGTCTGTATGTTTCAGGCTCTGGGGAAAAAACTAAGGGCTATGCGTGGGTGCTATGCAGTACCATCAATACGGTGAACCTTCAGCTTATAGACAAACTCCCACCTGTTTCCTTCCAGGAAAAAAACAACATTTTTTGGGGGGAGGCATTGAATATGTCTCCTTAATATCCCAGTCAGTAGCTTGGCTCACTCAAGTCTGTCGACTCACTGCCTAGCTGAATTTGGAGTGCTGCACATTTATCACCAACCCACACTGGACCATACAGAGACACCCACAGCAAGAGGAAAAATGGTTCTGCAGATAAAGGCCAGCAGCAGTCATTATATAAAAAAAAGAGAGAGTAAAAAAAATGATGGGACAGGAGAAATAAAACCCTTGGTGCTACTTTGACCTATTCAGTTAAAATCCACACAAGATCATCAGTCATCCATTCCACATTCACACTCACAAACTCAGTTCTCAATGTGCTAAATATACAATGTAGCTATCTAGAAGAAAAAGCCTGCAATTTTGCAAATGTGGGCAGTCTAATAAGCAATGGAGCACTATCCAATGGCTGTGCTCAGATGTCAAATGGCTGCATGGTTAGATAGAGAGAAATAGAGTTCAGTAAATGGTTGTTGTGGGTTTTCCGGTCTCTTTGGCTATGTTCTGAAGGTTGTTCTTCCTGACGTTTCGCCAGTCTCTGTGGCTGCATCTTCAGAGGACAGCACTGATTCTAGCCAAAAACAGACTATAAATCTGTTGCTGTTTTTCTTTAGTCGTTAAGCTGAGTCCCATGCTTTGTGACCCCATTTACCAGAGCACGCCAGGCAGTCCTGTAGAGTTCAGTAAAGTTGATCTGATCCATCCCTGACGCTCAGCCACTGGAGTTTCCAGGAGAGGTTTCACCTCCTGCTTTGGTGCTGCTTTCTTTTCTTATACAGTATCAGCTGGTGCTGAGGTATTTTTGTTCAAATTTCACCATTTTGACTCCCCCCGAAAAAACACTGATCTCTGAGGGTGAACGAAGTGATCTGAGTATAATCGGAAGCTTCTTGAGCACCCCATGTAGCTAATCCAGCATCACACAGATATCTCTGCTCCATTTTATCTGGACACTTTTCTCTCAATAAAGAGTGCATCCGTAGTGCGTTTGTTTTAAATGTTTTCTCTTGTTGTAATGCTAGGATAGTATTACATTTCTATGATCCTTGGTTACCTCTTGTGGAGAATATATAACCTTTTGCTATCAATAGGACATAAGTAAAGTTACTTTTTTTTTTGGACTGCAACTCCAATCTCAGGTGAAGTTGACTAAATGTTAGCAGAAAGAATGGGAATTTAATAAAAGCTTACCATTTGGCTTGTAATACTATACAGTCTGATTCTAGCCAAAAACAGACTATAAATCTGTTGCTGTTGTTCTTTAGTCGTTAAGCTGAGTCCCACGCTTTGTGACCCCATTTACCAGAGCATGCCAGGCAGTTCTGTCTTCCACTGCCCCCTGGAGTTTGGTCAAATTCATGTTGGTAGCTTCAATGATAGTGTCCAACCATCTCATCCTCTGTTGTCCCTTTCTTGCCTTCACAGGATCTGTCTTCAGGACCAGCTTACCAAGGTTCATAGATTTTACATTCCAGGTTCCCATGCAGTATTTTTCTTTGCAGCATCAGACTTTCCTTTCACTTCCAGGCACATCCACAGCTGAGCGTCCTTTCAGCTTTGGCCCAACCACTTCATTAGCTCTGGAACTACTTGTCCTTGTCCTCTGCTCTTCCTCAGTAGCATGTTGGATGACTTCCGACCCGAGGAGCTCATCTTCCAGTGTCATATCCTTTACTCTTTTGTTTCTGTCCATGGAGTTTTCTTGGCAAAGATACTGGAGTGGCTTGCCAGTTCCTGCTCCAGGTGGATCACGTTTAGTCCGAACTCTCCACTATGACCTGTCCGTCTTGGGTGTCCCTGCATGGCATAGCCTGTAGCTTCTCTGAGTTACTCAAGCCCCTTCACCACGACAAGGCAGCAATCCATGAAGCGGGACTATAAATAACCACATGTCTATTGTTCCAAAGTGCATAGTAGCATTTGATGCAATAAGCTTCCCTTTACTTTTTCTGTATTAATGCATTAACACAAAGCAGAGCTCACATAGCTATAGGATGCTCCTGCATTCTCAGTAGATGCATGGCATATACTTTGATTTTTTTAAAAAAAATAAGTTTCACATATACTTTAATCTTTTCTGTACCTTAAAGAAAAATGGTATAACTGGAGAAAACAGAAATAGCCTTGTAGCACCTATAAACTAACTAGTTTTTATTATCATCAGCTTGTGTGTATCTATGCACATTTGTGCATAATTATTTCTCTTTCTCTTGTTTCTCCTATATTTTCTCTTTTTGGCAGTTTTTTGGTGAGGGGGTCTTGTTTCTCTTTTGTTACAAAACAGACTAACAGGGCTAACTGCCATGTTTCTGGCTACAAAGGGAATCAAAGCAAACTGATTAATGAATTGATTTATTCTGCAGTACGCAAACATTGTCCTTACAAGGCATTACAAATCACTTCCATTTCTCTGTAATCAATACAGTACTAGGGAAGCTCTTTGAGTTTCCAAGTAGGAATCAGCAAGGGTTCAGCCTAGTCTTCTAAGAATAGATGAGAGCAGCTCCAGTATTTCAAGATTTATACACCTTCTCTCAGTCCCGGTGATTATTATCTTGTAGTACAAACTCTTACGCATCTCGTGTAAAAATATACACCATCTTGTTAACCACACTGGAGAAGGAGAAGTCTGTTGACAAAGGCAGATCAAGGAATCTTGGTTACTGAGGTGGAGGATATGATGGTGTCCTTTCCTCAATCAGATGCAAAAGGCTCTTTTGGGCAGGCAGATGAATTTTACCTTAACATTCATGATGGGATAGCATACTTTGCCACATACATGAACATGGTATGAACAGAAACTGGAAATACTGACAGAAATCCAGTAGTAATCTGCAACTAGAGTAAGCCTACCAAATCAGTAGATGTTGCATAGACATTGATCCGATAAATCCACACTAATTTAAGGGGCCTGCTCTGGTTGTGACTCATAACTGGATTTCAACTGCTACCTTTTTAGACTGCAGGGCCAAAAATCTGGTGGGGAATTATGGCAATTATGGTACAGCAGGAAAAACAACAACAACACAATCCACTTTTTCCAAGTCCTGCATTTGAGGCAGGAGACTAAGTTTGGATTGTATAATGAAGGTGGATCCAGCCTATTAGTAGCTACAATCATGTCTCCTAAGAATGTTAGACATTTTGCATTTCCTGCATTCACTGCTTCTGCAGTGGTGTTATTCCCAGTCTAGTTTTGTTTCATTTTTTACTTTTAACAGCCCTTCAAAATTACCCTCATGTGACAATAGCATATCATATAACATTGGAGACAAATGGGGAATAATACCACTTATTCACTGCTATGCTTCAGTCTGTGGCTAGGCTTCAATCAATAAATGTCACCTGCTATCTATCTACTAATCTGCAATGCTTGTGCATTAAAAATATGTGTGGGTTGCTTCTCTCCAGTGGTTGGCAATGCCCACAAGTAAATAATGCTAAGTCAACGGGGAGGGCAGCAAAGCTTGGCAAGCTCCTTTGGAAAGAATGAATTGAAGGACAGGCTGAAGCCATCTATTATTGAAAAGTGGTAGAATGATGCTCTAGTAGGACTTTCCAGGCAACTGATGGGGGATAAGTTGCATGGATACTTTTCCTCCTCTGTTTTCGGTTTGAAAAAAGAACACAAAACTATGCTAGGAGGATTTATTGGATTTGTATTCAAATCCATGTATTTGCTACCTGCAAAAATCAGTATCAACACACTCATATCATCATCATCATCATCATCATCATCATCATCATCATCATCATCATGTCACTGGATCAATTCCAGCTCATAGCAAGACCCTCCAGAGTTTTCTAGGCTTGGAATACTCAGACGTGGTTTACCATTCCTCTCTTTAGGGGTCCCCCAGGACTGTGCAGCTTGCCCAAGGCTACAAACAGTGCTCTTCTTTCAAGAAGCACAGTGGGGAACCAAATTCCTGACCTCAGGCCCTATAGCCAGATTCCTGACTCACTGAGCCACTGAGGCAGCAAGAGAGCTAGAGCTAGAGATTTTGGTTGTATGGACATATAACTTAGACCTTTGATCACAAAAACCTGTTACAAACCTAAACAAAAAGCTTCTCTTGAGGTAACTGGCATTCTCTTCAAAAGCAATATGCAAAAAAAAAAAAAAAAAAAAACAACCCAAACCTGAGGCATTTTGCTGGTAATCTTAACTGAAATCTCATTTTCTTTGCTTGCCATTTCAATACCTTAAAAACCACTGTAAAATTTTTGCTTTCATTTCAGTCCTGTGTAGCTATTCTAAATTTAATGTGTGTTCACACACTGTTTTACTGAACATAAGAGGAATGTAAGATCTGCTATGTTCTTTTTCACACACTCCTTACTGTCATATTTTAGTTCAGGGGAAGATATTGAGATCTGCACTGAGTATTCCAGTACATTTAAGGCTAACACATTTAAGACTATTTAAATTATCTTTTAAATTAGTCTTTTAAGGTGCCACGTGATTTCTGGCTTGGTTTTACTCTTGTTATTGCTGAAACAGACTAACATGGTTATATCTCTGAAAACTAAGATCTGTATGTGATTCTTGCTTTCACTCAAAGGACAAGGAGCATCAAAGTGTCTTAAAGACTGGCAGTGGTGCGGCTAAAAAATATTGTAAATAAATAATATTTGATTTCAGAAGAGATTTACTTGGCAAAAAAATTGTAGGCTTTAGCCCACTAAAGAATTGGCCTACAACCCATGACAACGTGTGGGATATAAAAGTTTTTGGTCTGTAAGGTACCAAAACAATCCTTTTTGGTATGGCTTGATGTCGCTTATATTGCTCTGTCATAAATGTTCCCAATAACCTCTTTTCCTTTTGTTTCAGCAGATCTCCATTACCAGTTGTGGTTTTTGGGACTCAAAAAGTTAAAACTGCACCACTGAGAAGCTGAAGAGGATGTAGAATTGCATTTGTAGGTAAGGGAGACAAAATATGTGATCTACTGGTGGTGGTTGGATATTTATGTTAGTTGTTCCCAAAAGTCTGTGCTTACCTACTCACCTTTTGGCAGCAAGCACCTCACCCTATGCAACATCAAAACTGTGGCATTCCCCCAGTGTCCCCTGTTTGTTTTCCCTCAACCACAGCTCCACCTTCAGACACAATGTACTATTTTCTCCCTTTACCCGCTGCCACCAGCGGTTCTTCATCCACACGTTTCTTAGACCCAGGCTGCCAAATATAACAGGTTTATTTATTGTTTGATTGGTAAATCACAGAAGTAAAGTCATAGATGTTCTTTTATTGTTCAATCATTAAACTTGGATAAGGTTACACGTTTGCTTGTTTGTATTCATTCACATTAACCACTGTAACACTATCTTATGACTGTTTGTCTATTTTCTATTACTTTTATCTCTAGTCTATTCTCTAACACACACCAACTTTCCAATCCCTGTCTTAACACTTCAAAAACCTTTCTCTAATTCTCCAACTGTTCTCTTGACTCCGCCCCTCTTGTCCTGCTATAGGCCCCTAGTCCTAGAGCTCCATATGATGCACAGGCATGACTAGGGCAGTCCACTACAAAAACCTTTTTTAATTGAAATTTCTAAGGAAGTGACTGTGTTAGTCTATTGTAGCATAAACAACAAAAGGTTTTGTGGAGCCTTTAAGAGGCTGACAACATGGACTGTTTAGGCTGCTGTTTGGAGCACTGCAAAGACAGACTGGTCCACTCCTAAAGACATCTTTTTTCATAGAGTACATTAGCCTGCCCCCAGAGTTTTATTACCCACACTTTTCTGGCCTCTATCAAGGGGTTTAAACCTTTCTGATGTGGGTAGTATTGCTGGGGTTTGGATTGGATCTTACATGTTTAATTCCTGGAACTGATCCAAAGCAAGACTTCCTCTTTCAATTTGCCAACGTTGTGAAGTGGCTTAATAAAAAAAGCCACTTCTTGCTTGGCAGAGGGCAGGGAAAGTTATTATTTTAAAAAAACTGTATGTAGGCTATCATCGATGTGCTACAGAAGTTATTTAAACTATATTTTCTTTGTCTCACCTTAAAGAGCCAGTCAAGAAACCACCAGCAGTCAAATTCACGGTGGTGGCTTTGGCTGCAGGCAGTTTCTTGACCAGCTCTTTAAGAGAAGGCAAAGAAAAGATTTTTAATTTTTTTTGTTTCATAACTGACGTCTAAAGTGATAGTCTACATACTTTATATAAATTCCACTTCCCCTGCTCTCTGATAAATAAGGAAAATGATTAATTTGCCAATATCCTAAAATGGCTCACTTATTAAGCCACTTCATAATACTGGCAGGAGATATTTCTGTGTGAACAGTCAGGCTTAATTAGATCATTGTAATGAAGGGGAACGTGGTGGCGCTGTGGGCTAAACTGCATAAGCCTGTGCTGCAGGGTCAGAAGACCAGCAGTTGTAAGATCGAATCCACACGACAGAGTGAGCTCCCGTCGCTTTGTCCCAGCTCCTGCCAACCTAGCAGTTCAAAAGAATGTAAATCCGAGTAGATAAATAGGTACCACCTTGGTGGGAAGGTAAAATGGTGCTCCCTAGTCATACTGGCCATGTGACAACGGAAGCTGTCTTTGGACAAACGCTGGCTCTATGGCTTGAAAAATGGGATGAACACCGCCCCCTAGAGTCGGACACGACTGGACTAAAAATGTCATGGGGAACCGGAACCTTTACCTAATGAAGCCCATTTGGTCCCAGGCAGCCCACACTAGCTTGTTCCGTGCTGCTAGTGGACCCATACCCTACGTTTAGCAAGTTTTATTTGGCATGAACCTTTGTTCACTTAGCTCACTTTTTCAGATTTATGGACCAATCTGTTCAACCCAGAGTCTTATATGCACACTGGTTCTGATGATGGACAGAGGTGGAATGGAGAGAATTAAATGAGATGTAGAGATTGTCTTTCCACTGGTCAGAAACATTTTTATGGCTGGCTACTGCAATAATCCTGGCAACAATAGGTCAATTGCACCATTCAGTTCTTGGATGTGTTAAAGCACTTGAAATATATTGTCCATGTGAGCAGGGTGCTTTGGAAAGCCTTACTCACATGCTCTTGCACTGTCCACTTCATCAGGACTGTCACAAAAAGTATGTCATCTCAATATTATTAGAGCTGGGGGCAAAATCCAATCTGGACAAAGTCCGTTTCATGTTATCAGTGGAGGTGGTCGACATTATGGAACAAGTAGCTGTTTTTCTTGGGTCAGTTGTTTGGAGGCAAGTCCTGACCTCCAACGCATGTATTTGTTTCACACTCCCTGTGAATCCAGAAGTCTAACAAACTAGCCTGATTATGTTTATTTCACATGCCAATAAAGGTTGTTTATGATGATGATGATGATGTTAAAGCAACAGTTGTTGTTGTTGTTTAGTCGTTAAGTCATGTTCGACTCTTCATGACCCCATGGACCAGAGCATGCCAGGCCCTCCTGTCTTCCACTGCCTCCTGGAGTTGGGTCAAATTCATGTTGGTAGCTTCATTGACACTGTCCAACCATCTTGTCCTCTGTCGTCCCCTTCTCCTCTTCACACTTTCCCAACATCTGAGTCTTTTCCAGGGAGATTTCTCTTCTCATGAGATTCTTTCTGGCTTTCTCCATAATCCAGCAAATGTTAGCAATTTGGTCTCTAGTTCCTCTGCCCCTTCGAAATCCAGCTTGTACTTCTGGGAGTTCTCACTCCACAACAGTTTTTACTTTGGAGGGAATATGTGTTTTAACTGAGGCTGTAAGTGACCTGCTTTGTCTTATAACCCTGTTGGGAAAAATTATTTAAGCTTTACACAGTAGGAGTAGTAATACACATAGACACACATGGATGAGCTGATAAACGTATGCAATGAAATAAGAAGCATCTCTTTGTTTAAGCAGAAAGAGATAAAGATGAACCTCTTGATGAAATCTTGTTTAACTCTTCCACATTGGAATCTGTCTTTGAAATACCTTCAATGTTAGCCATCCTGAGGTCACAGACTATGTCTCCAGGGAGATGGAAATGTCCTTCCACTAGTCCGGGGTGTGTGAGTGTGGATGCTTAGGTTGTCACATTTGAGCTCCCCAACTTCTGGCTCTACCTACTCACTGAGACATCCAGCCAGCTACAATGAACTAATAGGAAATTATTAATGTTATTGTTGCACTACTTCCAGCAGAGATTTGATGCATTCCATGTTATTAATGTGTTACCCTACTGTTACACCTGCAAATTACAGTGAATACATACTCTCCTGTTTCTTCCAGTGTCCATTGCTGAATCCATATGCTGTGAACACTTTACAAAAATAAAAGGAAGCAGGAAAAGAAGGAGGAGAAACATAATTCCTAACAGTATTTTTGGCCTATCCAATCAAACCCCACAAAAGAATGAACACATTCATCCATCTGTAGTTTCCCACCACTGCCACCATAGATATACTGGATAGTGTAATGCAAAAGGCGAGGAAGAGAGGAAAAATCCAGAATCCAACAGTTTGCTGAAAAGTGATGTTGGATACTCCCTTCTTAACTACCTTCCTTGAGCAGCTGCAGTGTAATATATATATTATATATAATATATACAATCCTTCCCCAAAGTCTCAGCATTTGGTGGTTCTGTTGCCCGTCTCCTTCTCATCCATATTCCTCTTACTTCATCTATTCCACAACTTCTTCTCTGAACAGAAATTAGTGGATGGAAGAGACTGCTTTCCACAGTCTTTTATTGATTATTATTCCTTGATGCTGCAGATCTACCTCTTAATCCCACAACCTTTTAAAAGTTTGAAGCTTTTGCTACAGACTAACAAAGCTATTCTCTCCCTAGTAGGAAGCACTGGTTAATCTACCTTTGGGCTACCCTCTTTAGTCAAAGGAAAGGAAATGCAACCTGAGAAAGTTCTAATCAAGGATAACTTTCTATGATGAATGCACCTGTGTTTGCTTTTTCTTTACCATAAACAAACCTTGCTTAACTTGCTGTTATCCCATCTGTAAAGGAGAGGAGTCGAGCATTGGCCCAAACAGTCAAATCCAACATTTTGAGCTTCTTTCTCTTTTGAGCTCCTGCAGCTGCTGTCACGATCATACTGCTTTCAAGTTAACATGAAAAGTGATCACCCAGGCCATCACAACGCCACCCACTCTGCCAGAATTCCCTCTGCGAACTCTGTACAAAAAGTTTAAAAACCAAGGGGAGAAATGACATCCCATCCTTATAAACTGGATTGTGTTGCAGGAGACATGAAGTAGCTGCTGTGTTGTAGGACAACGATCCACAATTTACACTTTACAGATGTCTCTGTAATTTAAGCAGCAGGCAGAACAACTGCACAGTTGTAGATGCTGTGGGTGGGGGGAAGATACCCAGGGCCTCATAAATCACAAGGAGGATTAAAAGCAATGAACATTTATCTTCTTAACCCTGTAAAGCAAAACTGCAAATCCAAGGATTACAACATGCTGTGAATGTAATCTTTGTTCAGGGATTTAAAAAAAGAAGTGTCAACCTTCCCCCCCATAATTGTTGTCGGTTTTGCTTTGTTTTGTGGTTATACATGTGGGGCTTTTTCTCCACTTCCTTTTCAAAGTACTTCACTCAGTTAACAGCGATTCATGCCTCCTGAAGAAAAGGGAAGAGAAAGACTATTGGAAATCAATTTAACAGCCAATAAAGGCACTTTGAGCCTCAGAGTAGATGTTACAGCACCAAACATGACACCATTCTTTGTAGCTCTCCAGGGTCTGTACAAAAAGTTGCTTACGTGGTTCTCTTTGAAGAATGACTTCCAAACATGGCTTCCCACATCTGGATCGACTTTACATCCCAGAAGCAAGAAGGATGATTTATTTTAGATTAAAGTTTGTGTGATTATTTTGCGACATCAAAGAAACATTTTTGGCTCATCAGGAATAAGCAAGCTGTCTAAACACCTAGAAAACCAAGAAGCAAAAAC